ATGGAACGCTGTCACTGCAATGTTGGCTAAAACTGTGTGTAAGAAAAAAATAAATGAACAAATACGCGATAAAAGCTTGTATTTTTAAGAGCAAAACTACTTTTGACCAAACACGATCGCGAATTTAATGTTTGTTATGATTTAAATGTTATTTAAAACATATCTATACGTCAAATAACTAAAACGTTCAGCAACATCCTCGTTGTCCCGCGTGTAATATTGTGTAATGTGTATTAGCATAAATTGATCCTCATTAGCATTTTTTATCCGGTTATGTGAMATTATTCTAATAGACTTGATTCCATACAGGAATATAAAATGAGAAGAGGAATTGCCATCACAAGGCCCTCCTCTCTCCTTTTCCTAAGTCTGCTAATGAGGCAGTCTGGAAAAAAACTGTTAGTGCCGAAAATACCCGAGAAACTAAGAATTTGAATAATAACMCAGGAATTCCAAGCAACGGAATGGATTAACGAGCAGGACTTGGATCAAATCTACACTAACAATAAAAACCAAACTCAAATCCTTTCTATGAGTTTATTCGACAACTTACCTTATGGAAGGCATCTTCATATATTTCTCCTTCGGCACCCTTTTTTACACTTATCTCCACAACGAAGAGATTGGGAGCTGGTACGTGCAAATTGTAGCCATACCTGTCATGTACCGTCGTGCATACGTTTCTAAATTCTACTCTAAAATGCAAACAAGAACAAGCATAAATCATATACTTAATAATACTTTAGTTATTTCTATTCGTGACATCACTTATAAAAACTTTTGTAGAATCTAGCGTTTCAAGATTCGATATAAATTCAAGATGAGTAAGATGAGCACAGCAAGTTATTTTCCGAAACTAAGGCCTTTGTCAATCGTCTTCAGAAGTTTCTATTTACAGTAATAGCCGCTAYTGATAGGTGCTGCTATGCTTAATACGAGTTAACACAACTCGTTTTCGGTAGAGACTTCTTCAAGAATCTTAGTAATAAACTCTTCAGGATAATCTCGGTTATGGAGTGGTTCCCAGAGGTTCGGACATGCAGCGCTGTTACAAAATATACCAGTGTAGTCGTAAGTAACGCTAATTGTGCGAAAAGTGAACTGCAAGCTTCCTGTTGCCTTATATTATATAGTCGATTGACAAAAGATTGAACAAAAGGCTAAGTGCTAGGCTATTTACATACAATACGTGATAGTTATGTTAGAAACAATAGGTGTGAAGGTAAAAATTACAAAGGAGAGTATACTATTAGAACGTATTCGCATAACCCACTTTTTAAATGCTAATGAG